TGAAACACTATTTATTCCTCTTTTGGGCCGTAATTGGTTAAACATTCTTAATGTCAATTGGCACAGTAGTGTTTTAGACAGAAGTGTAGTTGTAAATAAATTAAGTTATGTTGAATGTTTTAATAAGGAAGTTGAGTCTAGTAATGTCAGACAGAAGTTGGTCTCCTCATTAAAGTCAGATTTCCATAATCTTTTTGTTGATGAACCTTATACCTTCATCAAAAATTTTAAAGCTGAATTTAAAGTTAAAGAGGGGTGTAAGCCTATCTTTCATAGATCCTATGAAATGCCGTACTCTTTGAAACCCAAAGTTGAACAAGAGCTTTTGAAAATGGTAGATTCTGGGGTGTTATCAAAAGTAACTCACAGCTGATGGGCTAGTCCAATTGTTATTGTACCCAAGAAAAATTCGAACGATATAAGACTTTGTGTTGATTTCAAAAAAACCATTAATAGGGCAATAGATAGCGAACATTGTGTTTTACCTTTACCATCAGATATATTTGCTAGTCTTAGTGGAGGAAATTATTTTTGTGTAATAGATTTGAAGGGAGCTTATCAGCAGCTGCAAATAAGCGAATCTTCCAAAGAGCTTTTTACTATCAATACTCATATTGGTCTTTTTAGGTATAACAGGTTAACATATGGAATAAGTTCAGCACCTGGTATCTTTCAATGTATAATGGATGCAATTTTATCCAATTTATCAAAGACTAAGTGTTACCTTGATGATATAATAATACATGGGTCTAATTTAGAAGAATGTCATAAGAATGTAAGGAAAGTTTTAGAAAGGTTAAGGGAGTTTAATGTCAAAATAAATGAGCAAAAGTGTAAATTTTTTGAACAGTCTGTTGAATTTTTGGGTCATAAAATAGATAATCAAGGTATACATCCAACAAATGAGAAATTAGAGTGTATTCAAAAGGCACCTTCACCTCAAAACGTAACTCAACTAAAATCATATTTAGGAATTTTAAACTATTATGGAAAATTCATCCACATGTTGTCCGCCAAACTTAAGCCATTGTATAATTTGTGTAAGAATAGCACAGAATTTCTTTGGACGGATGAGTGTGAACGAGTATTTCAAGAAAGTAAGACACTATTGTCTTCAGATGATGTTCTCACTCATTTTGATCCTACCAAGCCAATTTTTATCACTTGTGATTCCAGTGGATACGGAGTAGGAGCCGTGTTGAGTCATAAAATTGATGGAAAGGAGAGGCCTGTTCTTTTCGCTTCAAGTACTCTAACTGATGTCGAACAAAGGTATTCAAATTTGGAACGCGAAAGCTTAGCCATAATCTTTAGTCTAAAAAAATTTCATAAATATATATTTGGCAGGAAATTTACTTTGATAACAGATCACCAACCATTACAATTTATATTTGGTAAAAATAAAAGTATTCCCGTTACAGGAGCAGCACGCATTACACGTTGGGCTATATCTTTATCTGCATACGATTATGATATTGTGTATAAAAAAGGGACTTCAATTTCAAATGCAGATGGTTTGTCAAGGTTACCTATGAAAACAAATACGGATATAACTGATGCTATTTTTTCATTCAACTTAACTTACGAAGTTCCACTAGATTCCACCCATATAGCGACAGCTACAAAAAAAGACATTATTTTATCGAAGGTTCTAGATTTTACTCTTTCTGGTTGGCCAAATTTCATAAACGATGTTAATTTGAAACCATATTTCAAAAGAAGATTAGAATTTTCTGTAGAAATTGGGTGTCTGTTAGCGGGAAATAAAGTGGTTATTCCAAAACAAATGCAGAAGGAGATTTTAAATTTGTTCCGTGAACAGCATTTGGGTATTGTTAGGACAAAGATGCTCATGCGGTCTTATTGTTGGTGGCCTGGAATGGATGAGGATATAGAATCATTTATAAGTTCATGTGCTGTCTGTCAGGAAACACAAAATTTTTCTAATAGCAGTACTCTTTTACCGTGGCCAAGTGCACCCAGTAACTTCTATAGAGTCAATATTGATTTCTTTTATAAACATAATTATATTTTTTTAATTTTAGTTGATAACAAATCTAAGTAGGTAGAAGTGAAATTAATGCAAGATGGCACTAATGCGAAAGAAACTATTTTAAAGTTAAAAGAAATTTTTTCAACTTTCGGGTTACCTAGAGAACTTGTATCAGATAATGGACCTCCTTTTTCATCAATTGAATTCAATGCTTTCTGTCAGGCAAATGGAATCAAATTTATAAGAAGTCACCCACAAAGTAACGGAATTGCCGAGAGATCAGTTCAAACTGTAAAGAAAGGTCTAGATAAATCCTTGTTTCTTGAAAAGGGGAGGAGTATTGATAAGAATACTATTTTAAATCGTTTAGAAAACTTTTTATTTGTGCATAGAAATACACCTTCCACTTCAACTGGATTGTCACCAGCTGAGAATTTATTCAAATTTCGACCTCGTACTCGGTATGACTTGATAAAGCCTTGTGCAAATCAACAAGCTAAACTTAGGTCTGACATTGCTAGAACACTCAAACTTTATTCTGAGAATGACATTGTATATGTTAAAAATGCTCATACTAAATTATGGCAAAAAGGTAAAATAGTTAGGTGTATGAGCTATTGTACTTATCTTGTGCAAGTTTCTGATAGTATTAAGCTTGTACATGCAAATGACATTCGTAACTGCAGTGCAATGTATCCGGAAGTGACCAATAACAGAAATAACGTTACTAGTATAAATGATAGACTGGATATACCAAATTCACCAAATGTGACTGTTCCCATTGTGTCTACAAATAATTCCACAGTATCTGGAAATGTATCTCAAACAGAAGTCGCGGAAGTACCAGTGTCCACAAACTATAACTCTGATCTAGGTCAACCTAGTAATAATCAGTCTAATGTCTATACTAGAGAATCAAATACAAAGTTTCAAAATTCTCCGAAAGCAGTTGTTGTCCCTGTTACTACTCCGACTTCTAGATCTAGATATGGTAGGTCAATTAAACTACCAGTTAAACTTAATTTGTAAGCTTTTTTAATTAAGGGAAGAATTGTAAGATATTGATCTTGATAAGGTTTGGCCAAACATAGATGTTTGCTTAACATAGAACTTTATTTAGGTACTTGAGTGCTCCTGTAATTTCATGCTACCTGCTACCTTTCATGTTTAGAGTTGATATAGTTGATTGTCAGATTTTAGATTTTTTTAAATAAATTATCTCCATTTCATATAGTTAAAAGTTATTAATAAATACATTACAGTATGCTTATTTCATCATCCCGTTTAGGTATTCCTGTCTTTGTAGCACAAAAGTTTGTGATTCCACAAACAGGAATGCTCTTCATAAACTTCCAACAACTTTATAATATGCTTAATTTTTCAGATTTATTTGACATTTTCATTATTTTTTTGAAAACGACTAGTGAAAACGTTTGTATTTTTTTTGACAAACTGGTGCACATGATAAACTGGCGCCAAAAAGTAGACCTCCATTCTACTTTACTGGCGCATGGATTAAGTGGCGCAAGTCAACTGGTGCCAGTTGATTTTCCGAGTTTCCACACGCCAGAAAAGTTGCGCCAGTCAACTGGCGCCAATAAACTATGCATGTGGAAACGCCGCTTTAGGCTTTAGGTACAATAAATAGGAATTATTGTGAAATGACTTGAAATTGCGATATTTTCCATATAACTTTGCATTGGGGGATGGCAGGAGAGTTAGGGACCACTCCAGCTGCCGGCAACATGTACTTTCCCATTCTTTAGGATCACAGGAATATGAATTTGAGCATTTTTGCCGGTCCTCACATTTTGCATAGGTACTCAACTACTTGAAGCGCCTGCTCTAAATACTGTTTTTTGGAAATTTGTTTTTTTCCAAAACGATAGTGACATACATTTTGCCTCACAACTTCAATAGTTTCGTCAAAGTCTAGTTTCGCAACTGATGAAGCTGCAAAGTCTTTTTAAGTTTGATTTTTATCACGGTGAGCAAGTTAAAAGTACACGAAAACATGACGAAAACTTATAGGCAAAAAATCACATCTAATTTTTCAGCTTACCACGAAAAAGTAAGCCCCTTAGTTTAGGACACGTGAATCAATATAGCAACTAAAATTAAAGCCTCTTAAACAAACACGCTCATTCTTATCTCTAATCGCAAAGAAAATAAAACATAAACTCGGGCGAAAACGTCGGATGTGAGATCAATAAACAGGAAATTGTTTAATAATAATTATAAATAATGTGACAGATAACCATAATATACGTAGTATCTCGATTTCATTTAATTGTAATTATAAGATTATCTTCAATAATTAAGCAACAAATTATTTAAGAATGGAATTGTATTATGAATCCCTGTACGAATATTTTTGAAGCTCGTCACCCATTAATCACACACAAGATAAAAATCAACGCCTTTGCTGAAAGTTGCAATTAGAATTGCCAACACTAATTAATAATCCTAGTAAATCGTTATGGTTGCCGCGAATTGCAATGATCTTTGCAAAATAGCCTCTCAGGAGTTTGCCAAGAATATTTTGTAATATGGGGGGTTTATAAATATCTTTTTATTAATTAATTTTGTCTTGAAGCTTTTAAGGTTTTCAATGTTTGAACCACTTAACCCAAAACTGATACGACAAACTATTGAGTGCAGGCGTTAATTTTTTCTCGCTTGCTTCTAACATTTTGAACAAACGTAACGTAATATAAGACGTTGAGACAAATAATACCAAAAGTACTAATTTGGAAAGTAAACTTTGATATTTTTTGGAAACATTATCTCCCCTCTATTATTGCTTCTTTTTTTGTTCATAATGATAAGAATAATATGCAACCCGTTTGTTTATTCTTTATATTCCTTGATAAAGTTTGAGAACCAAAAAAGCCAGCTGTGTATATTTAGTCATAGTAATCCTAGAGGAAGTCTTGTATTATCTATGATTATTATAAATATACAAAAAAACGCAAAATTCCAAACGTTGACCCCCCGTAGGTAGTACCTCAACGGGGGTCGCATCAAAGCGACCGACGTTGGTGCTGATAGCGACCTGATCATTACTGGTCATTAGAGAGAATGACTCTGGCTGGGAACGGATTGAGAATCGTGTATGGCACACTTCCTTTGGATTTTTGATTACTTTGAAGGCCAAAAATGAAGACAGAATATAAGCTTTCTAGAAAAACGTATTGTAAAAAGTTATTTTTGATTCTATAAAGTTAATAATCCTAAATCTCTCTTGAATCTATTGTTACCTTTTGCCAATCGTTTCCTTGCTTTTCCAATATTTTTTCCTGGATATGTTTTCTCGTTGTCTCTTTTGGTACTTTACTCAATTGTCTTCTTAATGTTATTTGTCCAGTATTTGCAGCAAACCAATCGGCAATCATAGATATTCTCTTGACAATTTAGTCCCATTTGGGTGTAGTTCTTATGGCTCTGTTTTGTATGTTTTGAAATTTATGCATTTGGAATTTGGTATTGGCTATTTCCAACTTGAGGGTTTGATTTTCTGTTATTAATAGATCGTTTGAGTTTTTCAGCAGCATTTCCAATTTCTCATTTATACCATCAATTTCATAAAAATTATCCATCGAATCAAGTACCGGAAATCGATTTTTTGATATTTTCATTGACTCTTGATTGTTTCTAAATGAACTTTTGAGCGAATCAAGGGCCGGTAATATTCAAAATTTGATAAAACATTGTAGTTTTTTGATTAATTTTGCAAAAATCTTGAATGAACCACCAGGGAATTATTATTTAAACTAATTGTAATTTGTTTCCTATCAATTCTGTCTGAAAGTTTCTTGGGTTTAGGAATAGGAAAAAAAAAAACAATTATTCTTTCGGCAACGTTTCGTCTTCAAGTAAGTTTTTGGGGTGCTGAATACGAATCTGAAGTTTGCTGCTTCGTAGCAGTACGGGCTTTTTCCGGTACGCCATACAGGAATTAAGGAATCCCCGTCCGGTGGTAGGTGATTCCTACACTCCCCACGTCTGTTGTAAACTTTAAACTATTACATATGCGTAAATTACCGGGGGTGAAGTAGGGTTGCCAACCCTCCCGCTTTTCAACAATTACACATTTGAGTAAAGAAAAATAATAATTCAACGGGCATTTGCATCTTTTATTTAGGGTTTTTGGTTGTTCTTGGGTTTGGATATAAAAAAAAACGCCTTATTTAATTGGACATCTACACTGACAAAATTGACAAGTATTTTTGGAAACATGTACCAGAGTTTAATAAGTTGTCTGGTGTAAGTTAACTTGATGACGTCATGTTAGGTGCCTTATGGAGATTTACATTATGTTGAGGAGGTTTAGGCCATTGGAAGAAGCACCCCAAATGACGTCATACATAAAATTTATCAGGCAACCTAACCTTGCCATCTACCATCGTCCATCGATTACGAATGCACTTCCCTTTCCATTTAAACCTACTCTTCTTGTAATTTTTCCGGAAAAATTGGAAAAAATTAGTTGACAAGTAAATTGTTCAACAAAAAGTACATTACAGGGTGTTTTAATGACTGTTCCATAAAGATTTGGACGTGGCCCCAAAAATTTAAACCTCCCGCTTTTCCATTTCAAAAACTTGGCAACCCTAGGGTGAAGCTAAATAACACGCGGATAAAGAAAGATTGAAAAAGGAATAAAGCAGATTGAAATTCGATCATTTAATAAAATCGGGATTTTCGGGATCCCGATTTTTTTATCTTGGGATTTTCGAGATCAAAAATCTTCCAAAATCCTGGGATCTCGGATTGGAAACCCTATATACAACTTACTTGCTCTTTTTCCTCAGCTGACTATATGGCCTTCCCATGATTTTTCCTGCAATATGTATAGGTACATAGTACATATTCCCTCATCTTGTTAATCTAAGGCCCGGTTCATTCACCTTCAGTTAAACTTGCTGGTAACTATCTGCAAGATAAATTTACCGTTCTATAATTAAGTACTAGCTGACGTCTCACCTTCAATAGCATGTTTGTCTCCCTATTGAAAGTGGCGTTATGACATTGGTGACAAGCTAGCGCATGTGTGCATAAATAGTCCTTCAGATGCTTTGTTTGTCCCCCCAACGAAAGTGAGGTTAAGTGTGTGACATGTGACATCATCTAGTGCCTAATTCTATTGGTCGATGGATAACTGGTTGACCAATCAAATTACAAATTGCTTTTTTATATGTCAGATTCCATAGGTACCTGACAGTTTTTTAAAAGGTGGATAAACCGGCCCCAAATGTAATAAATGAGTAAATTTTTTTTTTCTTTGACGGGAAAAAAGTAGACTTTTTGTACCTGTTGACAGGGGCAAAAATGTCACTTTTTTCCCACGGGAAAAAAGGAACAGCTACCAGTCAAATTTTTTTCCCGAGGGAAAAAGGTAACAGGTACCATTTTTTTCTCAAAGGGAATAATGTATAGATGGAAAATTGTAAGATTTTCCCGTCACAGAAAAATTTTAGCGCTCGCTGTGTTGTCTCCCTCCGCTTACACCTCGCGCTAAAATCTAGTACTTTTTTCCCTTGTATAATAAATAACTATTTTTTTTTTTTTGTAAATGGGTACTGAATGTTGGAGCTACGAGCGCTCAGTACCGCATATTTTTCTCCGATGGAGTCACACATTAAGGCCGGGACACATCTATCATGCATTCTTCCAATCCGACTCCAATCAGGGTCCTAATTCTTGGAATAGGGAGCAGTGTTCCCAGGATAACAAGTGTTTCGTCTTCGTTACTCATACGCTGCTTCCTGTTCCAAGAATAGAACCCAGATTGTATGATCGGAGTCAAATTGGAAGAATGCATGATAGATGTGTATTTGGTTACCGCTACATAGATCGCTAATCCTTTAGGACATGTAAAATTATATCTGGCATCGCATTTCCTATTAGGACAGTGCACATTGTCTACCTCTACATGAAGTGCTAATCATATCTGACGACTCTGACGTTGCGTTTCCTATTAGACCAGCGCACACCCTCCGCCATTGCACTGCAATGCATTTCATTATCATTGTCATTTTTTGAGGTGAATTGGTGGTTACAGGTGGTGCAATAATTTTGGAATATTTCTCGTTGTGTCTTGTTTGATTATCTCTGTTGATCCTGCACTGAGAAATCCTCTAGCCAAAAATTCTTTACGAATGGATTTTCAGCTATCATAGGACAGAAATTTCAGCTGTAATTGCAAAACGATCCCATTTTAGTAGAACGTACTTACTAAGTTAGCAAAAAGTACCTTGGTTGTGTAACAGTAAATTTCTTTGCTGCCACTAATATTTTTTTCCTGTTACAGTAAAAACACTCACTCATTATTGAAAACTAACCCAATGTCAAAAGTCACGTAACAGCGTGGTTGGCAAAATGAGCGTAGTTATCTAATTTATGTACGTTGGTCTAATAGGAAACGCGACGTCAGATATAATTTCACAAGTCCTAAATGACTAGCGCTCCATGTAGCGGTAGACTATGCGCGCTGGCCTAATAGAAAACGCGATGCGTGATAAAATTTTACAAATCCCTTAGACAAATCCTAAAGGATTAGCGCTTCATGTAGCGGTAACCAAATAGGAAAAGGAAAAATGTGTCCCGGCCTTAACTTATGGAATTGCATTTTGGGGCTGTTGCAGTAGTACTACAAATTTCAACTCCATATTTATTTCACAAAAAAAGAGCCTTCAGGTTTATGCTTAGAGTTTCCTTCTGACAATATTGCAAACCTAGCTTCATTTTTCACAGAATTTCGACTGTGCCATGCTTACATATACTCGAAAGTGTTTGCTTGGTCTTATAGGAATTACTATGACCAACTTTCTTCCGCAAAGCACTATTCAACTAGGCCAGCTAATAATAGGTCTGTCTCTGCAGAAATCACAAACCAGTCAGAGCGAATTTCATTGGTTGAAAACAGTCCGAAACAGTCAAAAAACTAGTTTCAACCAATGAAATTCACTCGAACAGGTTTGTGATTTCTGCAGAAACAGACCTAATATGCCACTGCCAATTAGACACTAGTTGACGTCCCACATATAACCTCAATGACATGCTGACATGTTTGTCCCCCTATCGAAAGTGACGTTATGTCATTGGTGACAAGCTACCTGTGTGTATTAGACTATCCAAGATGCTGTCAAACTTAAATTAAAATGTCCGCCGGCGCCAAGAGGCACACAAACCCTTTCCGGCCAAATTTTGCTTGTCAAAGTCACGTGTTTTGGATAGGCTGATGAATAGTCCTTTTGTTTGTCCGCCCAACGAAAGTGAGGTTATGCGTGTGACGTCAGCTAGTACCTAATTCCCAGAAGCACCTTGGTGAATAAATCTTTTATTTATTATTCCAAGAAAACCTTCAATTTTTTACCATCTAGCGTTAGGTCTTCACCTTCATATACAGAAGGTTTAAAAAAGGGGTAAGGGAGTTACCCTTGACTAAAACCTACTATAATATTGAAGAATTCTTTGGAGACACCTCGTGAAAAGATTATTTTAACTTAAGTAAAAGGAAAACGCACACCTAACATAAGATTTTTGCTCTCTATTGATTTTACCATTCAAAATATTGACAGGTTCACATATTTTACGTCACTAATGGCTTTTCCGATTGGTATAGGTCTAGTGCGGAACTAGTGTAATTTTTCTTATTTTTGTCTTTTTCATTGTATTGCCAACATAATGTCATTTTGACTTCTATCTTTTCAAAAAAAACAGACTTTAGGTTTTAATATTTTATTAGGTACTAGCTGTTGCCCGCGGCTTCGCACGCCCTATACAAATTTTGTAGGTGTAGGGTGTAGGTAGCATTAGGTAATCTTCTTTCAAAGAGCTAAACCGGAACTAATTGAGGACTATCGTAGAGCGCATGCCCAGTTATAGCTGGGTTCGGCTTGCTCACTCCGTGCACTCCGAGTGATTCCGTTCGCACTTCAGCCGTTCGAGTATTACCCTTTAGCTTATCAGATAACGGCTGGAGTGCGATCGAAGTAACTCGGAGTGAGCAACCCGAACCCAACTTGTGAATGGGTTCAGGTTCCTATTTTATCGCGAACAGTTTTGGAACCAAACAAAAACTCCAGAACCTTGCTCCAGACTGTCGAATACGTGAACGAATTGCGAATGTCATGTCTCAAACTTGAAGTTAGCTTAGCCTGGGACCGGTGGAATTTGTTCAGAATCGGTTCCGAATCGTTTCTGGTGAAAGCATGAAAATATAACGACAAAAACAAATTTTTTTTTTGCACTGATTCTGCAAATGGAAATCGCTATGAATTTGATTCTGCTTGTCATATTTCTGAATTTGACAGTTGACGCGTCGTCTGTTTCTGTTTACACTTTTTTCCCCGCACTCCCGCACCACACCGTTTCTTATTTTTGGTTATTTAAGGCGATTGCTTAAGGCCATGTTGATATTATTTCTTAGTGAGCATCTCCAACCTATTACTTACCTGTTTGCAAAATTTCATCTCGATTGGTTTAGTAGTTTTCGAGATTTCGTGTTTAATCAGTCAGTCAGTGAGTGAGTGAATTTCACGTTTATATATATATATAGATTTAAGTTGATATTGTCGCGGCTTTGGGTTGCCTGCTGACAAAAATCTTGGGTTCGTTGTTCGTTTCGTTTATTCCAAAAATCAAAGTCCAATTAACACAGCAATAATTTATTCCACTTAATAAAACACTCTGACACTAATTACTCTATTAACAAACTCAACAATTAAACTCTTTACAATCACTATTTAAATCGTATCACAGTCGAACTGAAACTTACTTGCAAGCTAAAACCCGTCCTTATATATATCCCTAAATCTATTCCTGTAAAATCTAGAACACACACGATAATCTAATTTTCCAGATTAAAGTAGAATAATTCGCTACATTTTAGTATTTACGCCATCGATTCTTGACAGCCTGGCGGACGTTTAGCCCTATTGTGACAATATAATTTCTCAATGAAAAGTTTTTTTCTGGACAATAAAGTTCTTTCATTTACGACCGGCACAATAAGTGACTATTATGTCACTAATTTTTGTTCATTTGTGTTATGTAATGAGCCGTATTACCGCACTAATGCGGTAATGAATCCATAACGCGTGATTATTACGACTCGTTGTACGACCTTGTCGTGGCAATATTCCCAACTCGTTACTGTAATGAAGCTTATACCGTACTAGTAATATAAATAACTATTTCCCCTTCCGTAGCCAGGAAGGGGCATTGGGCCCTATCTTTCAAATGATGATGCCCTACCTTTAAAACACAATATTCGTTGAGATTTCTCTAGGAAATTTAAGAGTAGATGAAAGCTTTGTTCCAACTGACATGAGAACCGTTCTAGAACGGTAATTTCCAGTCGATCAATTCATTTGTCAAGTAGGATAAACGTTCAACTTATTGAAAATTAGGTGGGCAATTGGAAATTACTAATTCTGGAACGGTTTCCATGTCGGTTGGACAACAGCTAATGAATAGACCTGAAATCGAGGTATACAAATATTTTACAAGTAGTACAAGTAAATACAAGAGGTCTCTCAAAAATTATTGCTTGAACGCGGCATTTTGTTTACTTGCCAGAGATGTTATTTATTGAAAAATTTGCCTTCGGCACCATTACCCCCATTTTGTTTATCTACCTATAAAAAATTTAAGGGAGGGTGGAAGTAGTGCATGCCCTTTGTCAAATTTTTCATGCCCTATCACAAATTTGACTCTAGCTACGGCCCTGGAGTGATTTGATTACATCCTATTACATCTACATACCTAAGGGCGGGTATTATAAAACTGCTTTGACAGTTAACTTGAAGTTAACTTTTTGAAATACATGTAATTCTAGAAGTTAACTTTAAGTTAACTCTCAAAGTAGTTTTATAATACCCGCCCTAAGACTTATAAATCCTCAATTCAGACTTGGAGGGGGAAATAATTTAGGGTTGAAAAGTGGGGTTGAGATGTAGGGGGGTTTATATTGACAGGCATAGACTTTTTATTCTTGGACCCCTTCATTTTGTCAAATAAGCGTTTAGAAGGAAAATGAAGAAATGATCAATCAAATTTAAAATTTTGGCGCTCACTTTTATTCAAAGATTTTTTCACGTAGAGTGGTTGTTTTTGAAATCACTGTCGTCTAAAAGTAAGTTCATTGCAGTTTCCACAAAAGTTCATTAAAATTGGCTTTTTCTCACTGATGATGGCAAGCTTACAAATCCAATAGTGAGAAGGTTAGGAAAATCTTTCGACGCAGAATTTTATGCTCTTCAGCTTTGGATACCGTGACATTTTTCGTACGATGCGTCGTTTGCAAGATATGACCAGAAAACCGGAAAAAGTCCGAAAATTTCGAGGCTTGTCGCGATTTTTAGCCTGAGCCGGTTCTGCTACGAGGCAGCAAATTTCAGATTCGTATTCAACATCAGAAAAACCTTCTACCGCACTCATCTTACCAAAAAATTACTATTTGATTAGACTACTTTATTAAGCTTTAGACTTGATATTTACTTGGTGAATATTTTATCGGCTCTTGGTCGACTTTGGACCAATCAACAGCCGTTAATAATCAAAATTTGTTTTCTATAGGCTGTTGATTTCATTGGAAAGATTATTCTGATGGTAACATATCGGTAATACTTGATATTTTTACCCTTATCGGATCGTGATTATCTTTCTTTGGACAAATTTTCCAGCGAATCAAAAGCTGGTTATCTTTCAACTATTATTGGCTCAATTCCTTGATTGCCTTTAGATTAATTTTTCTGGCAAATCAAGAGCCGGTAATAATCAAAATTGGATTTACTATTGGCTGTTGATTGCTTTAGAAAGATTACACAACCACTCAAGTACCTCAGGAATCAATGTTTTGACTTTTATCAGTGTTTGATTGACTTTGGACAATATTTTCTGGCGAATCAAGAAGAGCCGGTAATAATCAAAATTTGATTATTCGGCTCTGATTATCTCAGAAAAAATGTATTTTTTTTTATTGTGAATCAAGAGTCCAAAGGCAAAGGAGAAATTTAAGAAGAATCGAATTTTCAACAGATGTTCTCAGGATTTATGACCTCAGATTAGTGTCGAGCCCCTCAGCAAATGGTTATAATCAGAATTTGATTTATTATTGGCTCAATCTGCAAATCAAGAGCCGGTAATAAACAAAATTTGACTTATCATCAGCTCTTGATTGTCTCTAAATGAACTTTTCACCGAATAAAAAGCTGGTGATAATTGAAATTCGATCATTTGACAAAAAAAATTTAACAAACAATAATCTAAGTTTGGACTATCAGACTGATTATCTATAAGGAATCAGGGGGCCTCTAATAACCAATATTTTGACTATCAAAAATTGCAAGAACTTTTACAGCAAAACAATAATTCCTGAACTTATTTAGCTTAACATCAAGTTGCCGAATAAACAAAAAAAAAACTGATTTTCTATTCTCAGAAATCCTACCAAAAAATATTGTTATCAATGGTGAAAAATTGTGCACCTGCTCAGTGAAAAATCCCACGCATAGTAGGAAGTTTGAAATTACACCCAAAACCCATTTGTCATCATTTCGAGTTGTTGATGTTTCCCGGGTCTATGATGTGCTGAAAGTGCACTTTTTCTTCTTACACACGCTTTTAAGCGGGAGTAATATGGATCTGGGGCACATTAACTCGCATAATTATCGCTCTCCAACTCATCGAGCGTGTATTAATTTTTACGATTTTAATTATATTCAGCACAGGCTCGATCAGATAACATTTATAAGGTTTTAATTAATTTTTTTTGTTGCAGAGTGCTCAGCGAAAACGACAAGAAACCGTTCATCGAGGAGGCGGAGAGGCTAAGGGTGATCCATAAACGCGAACATCCCGATTACAAATACCAACCTAGACGTAGGAAACCGAATAATAAATCAACCGATAATCACCATCAAAATAATAATATGACTTTTTCACGTTCATTCAAACAAGAAGACTCGCCTTGTAGTCCTAGAAGCCACAGCTCTACAAGCCCATCGACCTGCTCCTCGCAACCAAACAGTCCACAAATAACCGCACATCCTTTATTAAAATCTTGCGATTCTCACAATTTGGATTTGGAAACTTATCATAGAATGTCCGAAATCGATTCAAGCTACGGCATATACAGCACAGAAGAAGGCTTAGACAGTAGCGACTTGGATCAGTATTTGCCAGCAAACACCGAAGCCTCATATGCAGGTTTCAGTGGAGGCTTCAAGCATTCGCAAGAGGAAGAAGGCAACAATAATTACAAAGCAAAACGGCCTTGTTTAGAAGAAACCTTCGACGATCCGAATAATGCTTACAGCAGGTACCACGAGTTACAATCTTCTGCTAGTAAGCATGCGAATACTGGGTTGTACACTTACCAAAGTACCATGACTTCTGGTAGTTGTTATGCTGGTAATAGCCAGTACGTTCCGTATCAGTATATGCAGCAAAGGAATTTGTTTGCTAGTACTAATCCAGCTGTAGGTGGTACGTTTAGTACTGTAGATGCTGTGCCGAATGATAGTTGGACATCACATTATAATATGTGATTGGGTTATGTACAAGTTCAAAAATCTGTTCTATTTAGGTAGATTTTGATTAGTGTTTAAGTTGAAATTAAGAAGACTTTTTTTTAAGCACTGTTTTAAGTGTTGTATAAACATTTTTTTATATAATTCCGATTTGTTAGTGTTTTATTATTAAACAAAATAAATATTTTTCTATTAAGAAGTTTTTTGTGTTTTACTTTTTTAAGTTTTCAGTCAATTTCTCGATAGGTGGCAATTAAAAGCTCGATCAATATAATGATTATGAATTTTCTGGTATTGTGTTTCTTAATTCGATGACTTTGCGCTTAAAATTGCCAATGAGAAAATCGATACAATAATTCAATTTGATTGGGGTTTGTTTTTACAAAATCAATATGCAATCAATGCAATTTGAACTGAAGTAGATGTGAGTCAATTTATTTCTGTAAAATTCTAATAATCTAGTTTTGAAAATGAAACCCAAGGTAAAATAGAGTCAAAACGTTGGATGTTGGATTTTTATTCAACTTATTAAATAGTTTTAGTAAATGACTATATTCGAGAATTGGCATATTTGAAGAAGGCACGCCAAAGGGCAGACATTTATTCTGGAAAAAGTGATTTTTTTTAAAATTTCAGGAAGCCCTTTCGGCGCCTTGATATCATTGTTACATTAGATACTTTACGTTATAGTACAGCAGATTAGCTAACCTATTGTACATTTTTTGATAAAGGCACCAGATTTGGCACAGAGGAGAATTGACGTAATATGAACAAATTTCCATGTGGATCCATCGGCCAATTGCCCCCGGTGGCCGTGGCGGCGAATTTCCAAAATGGCCGCTAGTGCACACCCAAAAAGACAACGGAAGTTGAATAAAGTTAGCTGCTGAAAATTTCAGTGAATGTTTATTGATTGTTTTCAAGGAAAACATGCCCGATAGTTTGTTAGTAATACAAGGTAGGATACGAAAAACTTCCCACCTAGGTTTTCTCCGGTGTTAAGTGAATAATCAAAAATTGCTCGAGTCACAGGCTCGAACACATCAAGTTTTGTTTCTTCGGGGACACATTTTATTGGTATTTCCACCCTCTACTTGTCAACCCCTAGGCGAAGGCGGCAGGAACCAGCAAAATCAAATGAAAAGGTGGTTCGAGTGATATAATTCTTTCCTAATTTTGACAAGCCCCCATTTCGGCAGGGTAAATATGTACCATCTGTGCAATAGTATTTGGGATACTCGTAGTTGGCGGGTCTCCAGCGTTGATGTTGCCTCATGTTATCTTGAGTCTGGGTTTTACATAGGATTAATTCTAGTCGAAACTTCTTTTTACAGCAATTGAGGGTCCCTGCTCGGGCACCAATTTTGTATCGCCGATTTTTCCTATTCTTACTTTAACGGTTACCTCGGGCGCCACCCTCAGGATTATTGTGGTTGAGGGCCCACGTGCACCAGGTAGCTTATTACAGTGGGGATCAGGCATCGAATCAGATGCTGGAAGTTATGCCTTGTATCCTTTCTGTAAATCCTGCAGAAAACTTCAAAAGAAGACACATGAATACAATAATAAGGTCTTGTTATTGCAACAAATTTGAGTTGGGTAAGACAATTCCTATATTAAAATGACCATTCTCTAAACAGGGTGAATGAAGCGGGCGTGCAATGAAGAGAGTGAAAATGTTTATGTGTGCGCGTACTGTCTATAACTTCCAATACCATTTGTACCGAAGATAATGTCCATATTTTCATAAAAACCCTTTTTTTTCGATGAATGGCAATTATTAGTTTTACCTCCTTAAACCACCCGCAAAGTTATTTGCAAGTCTTTTTAGGTACACTAAATGGTGTATGTTGGTACTGCCTATAACTTCCAATACTATTTGGGCCCGAGACTAGGGTGGAAATGTCCATATGTCTATGGTTCATATTTTTACAAAAACTCCTTTTTCGATGAATCGCAATTATTAGTTTTACCCAATGATATTTGGTTTGCCTCCTGAAACCACCCTCGAAGTAATTTGCATGTCAATGTCAGTGAGGTTCCCCAAACGGTGTCATCGTTAGGGTCATACCAACTGGGGTGAGTTATCGTCGGGATAGTATAACCACTGAGTTAGCCAGACTCGTTGTAATTATGTAGTAGCAACTTAAAATTTCGAGGATTACTTTAATAAGTAAATCTTATTAAAACTTTCTATCAAATGACGTATCGACCCCTCTTTTCTATTTGAAATTTTGGGGGTACCTGTCGGCTGTCATCTTCGTCTAAAGGTTGAGAAGTAGGCAGTGGCGTAACTTCAGATTTTGGACCTGGGGGCAGAGTGGTTTGGCGAGGACCAATTACAATATTGCATATATTCTGTTTGTCTGAAGTAGGGTTGCCAACCCTTCCGATTTAGGAGGGAGGCTCCCGCTTTTTTACTACACCTCCCGCCTCCCGCGCACCTAAACAAAACTCCCGCTTTTCCCAAAAATGGAAATTACATGAAATAATGATTCTAAATTAGGTGCTCTTGTTTACTTTAACCATAATTTTTATACTTCTTTATAAATCTGCAACACTGCGCAACCGGTGCACTACGATTAACGTCGAGAGGCAAGTGCGCTCCAATATTAGAGAGTTCTCGTGCTGTCCAAATTTCAAATACCGTAACGTTATTTGACAAGTATGACAGATCTTACGGTATTAGCGTTAGCGGAGCCCGCTACCTAACGGGAGTTAGCGTATGCCTTACCGTAACGCTATGCTTTGTCAAAATTAGTTTACGCTCCATTTACGTCTGCAAGAACAGCAACTTCTAATAATTCCTCCATAAAAAACACCAAGGGCATATTAATGAAACTCAGGAATCCTCAGGATAAATAATAGTTGGCATACAAGCAAAAAAAAGTTGGGTTAGATCACTCAATTCAGCTGTCAAAATGTAAACAGAATAAGATAGATAGATAGAGGATATTTGTGTCTTCGTGTCCGAGAACTATAAAATACCATTTAAAATACCGTATTATTAGCGGTACCGTATTAGCGTAGCGTCTGACGCACGAGAACTTTCTATTATCTGCATCTTTCTTTATTTCCAATTCCAAACAAAGACAGAAAAACTGTTAGGAAGTTTTTTCAGGTAATGACCAACGTGAAATCAGGGTCATTACCTGAAAAAACTTCCTAACAATTTTCATTGCCAACGAAAGCTCAGACCAATCAGTGTAGTTCAACGCCGGTAGGGGTATTTGCCCTCGGAGTAGTTGTTTCTGACTGGTCACCGAAGTTCAAAGACAGAACTACTCAAGACTCAGAGCGTAGCTCGTTCCGGCGTCTGAGTCTGGGTCTGAACTCCGAAAGTACCTAGGATCAGTGGCGGCTCGTGACTATTTCAAGTGAGGAGGCTAAAAAATATAGGTAAAAGTATTAAAATCAATTGACAATGAACGGGTTCGTATAATTCCGGCCCTTCGGGCTTGTATAACCTCGGACCTTCGGCCTCATGATTAAAATAACTCCGGTCTGTCGGGCTCGTATAACTCCGGCCTTTTGGGTTCGCATGACTCCGGCCCTCCGGACTCGTATAACATCGGCCCTTTGAACTCATAATTGAGATAACCTCAGCCTTCCAGAATCGAAATTTGAAAAAAAAAACATATGGCAACACTGATTATAATACAACAAAAGTCAAAAAATTGGCCGGTTCCCTGTTTGACTACTTCCTACGTATTCGCCGAGTCTAAATCTATATGCCTATGTGGGTTTTTTTTTTAAATTTTGACAACTGTCAATGTCTAAATTTTTTACCTTTTCTTTTTCTCAAAATACAAATGTAAGAAAAAGATCCCCAGGCTCTGAAAACCCTAATATAAAAAGTTTCATTGATATATTGTCAAAAACCAATGGCCTGGCAACGCCGAACGTCTTTTTTGACATATGTTAAAAAAAAAATTGTACTTGCTACGTATTCGCCGAGGCTAAATCTATATGCCCATGTGGGTTTTTTTAAATTTTGACAGCTGTCAATCTCAACAAAAAAATTTCTTTTGTTTTTTCCAAAAAACAAAGGTTAGAAAACAAGTCGTTTTTTTAGTGGGTTTTAGGGTGAGATTTATGTAGCAACACTTATATGAAAATTCAATGAATTCATTTGTAACAACAGTTGCTACAAAAAATTCAATTTCCCATCGAGTTTAGTATTTGAATTTTTGAATTTTCCCGGCTCCTGATTGGTTTGGGGATTCGAATTTTGATTATTCTCGCTTGATTGGCTTTAAATTTTGAATATTCCCGGTTCTTGATTAACTTTAAAATAAACTATAATCTCGACCCTTCGAGCTCGTGATTTGAAAAAAAACATATGGCAACCCTGCTCATGATACAACAAACGTCAAAAAATTGAAATTTCAAAGTAGTCCTTGATTTTTTTGACAATCGATATAAAATGACGTCTTTTTGTTTCAAAGATAACGGCCCAAAGGGCCGGAGTATTAAAATAAGTTGACAATGAACGGGTTCGTTCGGATAAAACTTATGTCGCACGACACTTTGGCGATATCGACAGATGTCACCTGTCAAATTTGACACATGTTCGACTTTTTTCCCGCTCTACTATAAAAGCTGCGAAAATCAAACCCCGATGATTATAATAATTAAAATTCCCCAAATAAATCATAGGACATTTGTTTTTAGTTTAATTTCAATGAAAATGACATTATAAGGTTTATTTATAGATTATAATGAGTAAGACAAAGACAACGATAAAGTAGTATATGTTTGCAAAAGTACCGTTTTCTGAAAAAAGTAAAAATCTTAAGAAAACTCCATAGAAAACCAACATTCCAAAGTCAATTTGATAAAACTGAAGTTTTTAAATATTCCCGGCTCTTTGATTGGACGCTAAAAATCGCATTTTAAATATTCCCGGTTTTTAATTGACTTTAAATTATTCGCTGACGAATAGAATTATAGATTGAGCCTCGTGATTAAAATAACTTTGGCCCTTCGGGCTCACGTATAACTCCGGCCCTTCGGGCTCGTATTACTCCAGCCCGTCGGGCTCGCGTATAACTTTAGCCCTTCGGGCTCGTATTACTCCGGCCCTTCGGGCCGGTGTTACTGAGTATCCCAAATTGACAGATTTTTGTCGTGGAGGCGCGGGATTGATTG